CCAAACTTTAAATATACATTCATATATATTTTATACAATTTCGGTTTTTGTTGTGCTTGTGCTTTAGCAAATACATACATGCATATTCATGTTACAATCATAATCTGAAAGTTTCAAGTTTAAATTCAGATATTAAATAAAATATTAATTTGACTTTTATGTTTTATTGGGCAGTATATTATGCAGATTTGATTACTTATTGATTAAAGATTTACTAATGTTGACTCGGGCCTATCTAAGAACATGTCGTTAATGGCTCTCATCAAAAAGTCAGGCAGCAAACATACTATCGTACAAATAATAATATATAACCAGATAGGAAGCGAACTCAAAAACATGTTGTACACATGGTATAGAGTACTGCTACTATCTAAATTATAAAGGTAAGTGCTTAATATAAATGCAAGAATCGATGCAATAATAAATGCAAAGTTAAGGTAACTCATGTAGTGTGAGACTAGCAATACCTTCAAATTACCTACAATTACGAGTACCATTATAAGCATGGTTCCAAAAGTTGAGAAATCTGCAGTTTGTCCTTCGTTGAACACGATATTATTGTCATACAAAATGGCATAGGCAAAGTAGAAAATGATGAGAGTTTGAAGGGCGCCGATTGAAATCCACATTAGAAATGACTTCCACGAGGTCAGCTTGTTGTGTGCGATTCTTTTATATAATTTTGGAAATCTGATAGTCGAATAGAACTATAAAATGCTATTTATTGGATGTCAGCGCATTTAACTCACCTCAACAATGTACTCTCACTATAATGCTTATCGGACATGGCCAAATACGTGAAGCTAAAGGATATGTAAATTATATCAAATAGCCATAAGAACAGTTCGTTATAGACAGATGTCGCCGAATACAGATCGTATACTTGAAACAGAGCCATGCAACCTGTGATTATCAGATTCTTGTAGCAGTAAAAAAGCACCATAAACGCTAATCGCTCATTATTGTAATGGCCATGCACCAGGAGCAGGCGTTGCAGCATAAAGAACTTGGCTATGGCATAGTCAGCGCTGCGGGCTGCCTGCTTGCCCTCCACCCCGGATATGCCAATACCAATGTGAGCTTCCTGGATCATGGACACATCATTGGCGCCATCACCAATGGCTGCTGTAATGTGCCGGCTCGACTTCTTTATATGCATAACTATTTCGCTCTTCTGCAGGGGGCTCAAACGACAGCAGAGCACGGCCTTGCACTTGAGGGCCAGATCAGTGAATTGTTCCGGCAAATGCGTGAGTAGGGCGGATACCGTTATACCATCGATGACCAGACACGTGGGTTTCGATGCAGCTGATGTTATGCCAAGTTCTATCTGATTCAACCGCTTTTGCAATGTTTCAGATACGGTTATATTCATAAGAAAGTGCACCTCGGCTGTTTCCGGTATATGCTTGCAGGCTCTTCCAATGGAGAATGCCGTTTCCACCTTATCGCCTGTAAGGACCCAAATCTTTAAGCCAGCTTCCTGCAGCGCGAGCAACGTTTTATCAACGTCATCCTGGAGTGCGTCTTCCAAAGCCGTTGCGCCCAGCAGATCGAAATCTGAAGTAGAAAATCAAGAAAAGAAATGTCGGATATCGTTACTTTGAGAAGCAAATGTTATTAGATAATCTGACTTATATATATGTAGATACATACGGGCAATTCTCTAGCGTCGAATTTGACATTCGTCCGTATGTTAAGTAAGAAAGCTCTAGTCGAGACTGCCCGACTACGAGATCCCCTGAACCCTTCGATACACATAAACATTTACACACACAATCATAAACACGCATGGGCGGCAGTGTGCGCTTACTATGAGAACTCAATTGTTTAATAACTTGTGTGGACATACGATCTTCATGAAACTTTCAGATTATGATTATAACATAGATATGCATGTATTTGAAATACACCTTTTACAAATGTGAGGGTGAGGGGGTAAATATAAGGGTGGAGGGTAAATTTTAACAAAAACCGAAATTGTATAAATTCCATATAAGCATACATAAAAAATTTGGAGACTCTAGCAACAAAGATGTAGAAGATATAATTTTATGATTGGTTTTCGATAAGGTTTTTTATCGATTATGCTTTCATTGACTTTGAATGTTTTGGCTGTGGTTGACCTTTCTGAAGAAATGCCCGTATATAGATAGATATATATATATATCACACTTACCCACTTCAATGGTCTCGTAACATAGTGCAAGAAGTTCTTTGCGATCCGTGAGTTGAATGCTAGCCTCTTTGCATGATGCAACGAATGTGACAAATTCATCTTCAGTCAGCCGGCGCCTGGCGACAGCAAGGGTTCTAAGACCCTCTTTGGCATATTGAGTTATTTGGACTTCAGTTTCCGTAGTAGGCGATGTTGGTTTGCAGCGTGGTAGTATGGACGCTTCAGCACCTTTACTATATAGCCAAATAACGCCCATCTCATCCCGGATAATAATGCTCATGCGTTTTCTCTCCGAGCTAAACTCGAGCACATGAAGGCGCTCGTACTGCACAACGCCATAATTTCGACCGTTAAGGATTCGGCTGAGACGCATTGAGTTGTTATCGGTGCCCTCAAAAATTAAACCCAATTTAGCGCAGCCCTCGAGTATGGCCTTCTCGTCTGGGCTAGATGAATGATATCTGTCAATGATGCCTGTAGTTATTAAGCTGTCCTTTTCCGATTGAGTTTCGGTTGATTTATCGTCAGAGCTGGACATTACTTCCACTGTATGACATAAGGCTAACGCTTCAAAAAGGATCTTCACATCGGTCTGAGCATCAATAGATTTACATTAGATTGAACAAGTAAGAAGACTCTAGTCGAGACTGCTCGACTAGGAGATACCCTGAACCCTCTAATCTGATATTCTAATCACTCTGCACTTCTTTTCGACACAGATACATACAAACGAACGTATTAGAACGTGATCTGCTAACTGCGCAGTAAGCAGCCACTGCGCTTGGGATGCGTTGCGGTGTGGGCAACATTATAAGAATTTTTTTGTTGAATAATTTAATTTCTAGACGTACAATCTTAATCAACTTTTAGGGCGAATTCATATGGTAATGCACATGTCTCTAGTACTGAAATACGCCTTTTACAAAGGTGAAGGTGAGGGGGTGGATATAAGGGTGGGGGATAAATTACAACAAAAATCGAAATTATATAAAATACATAAAAGTCTACATTTTGGAAAAATTTGAAAACTCTAGCTATAAAGGTGTAGGAGATATAAATAAATAACTAGCTTTCGATAAGGTTTTTGATCGATAATAAAATATCGGGATTATTTATCGATATAAATAAAAAACTTGATATGCGCGTGATATACACGGACATAGGGAAAAAATTTCAAGTCTCTAACTCTTATATCTTCTGAGATCGACGCGTTCATACATACGGATGGACGGACGGATGGACGGACAGACAGACAGACAGGGCCAAATCGACTCAGCTCGTCGCCCTGATCAAGAATATATATATACTTTGTGGGGTCTGCCACGCCTCCTTCTGCCTGTTACATACTGTTAACAAAACCATTATACCCTGATTTCCCATTTTCAATGGGTTCAGGGTATAAAAATGGGTTAAGATTCAGTCTTACTTACATCCATTGCGCCTAGTTCGTAGATCTCGTCTCTATCGGGGCAATACAATTGATTATTTTGTAAAACGTAGTTATGTCCATTGACATAGCACTTGAGAAAGATCATTTGATTTTTTGTTAGAGTTCCAGTTTTATCTGAAAATAATATGTTGATCTGACCAAGATCTTCATTCAAATTGGATGCATTCACTCCGCAGGGCTGATCGGTCTCCTCGTCGTACAAATGAATGTCGGATGTCATAAAAAGAGCGCCGAAAACTCGGTATAGTTCGATATTCATATACATTGAAATAGGCACCATATAGTTGAATAGAATTAAAAATGATAAGAAATCCTCAAAGATTTGCCAAATCGCGTTGTACTCAATGGGGGGTCCCAAATAGTAAATAGTCGGATAAACTTCTGATACTTTTTTGCTAAAAATAAAAATAAGTGTATATAGATACTTAGACAAAAATGTTGATTTTGAACTTACAAACACTGGTCAGTTTGATTGTCAAAATATATTTTCTTAAGTGTTAAGAATTGCGAAATAAGGAAGACCTAGTGACAGATCGTAGGACATATTTTTTAAATGGGCTCAGAGTATTACCTTATTTGTCCCTTTATTTTAATTATTCTAACTAATCTGCCTCCCAAAAAGTCTTCTTTGCTAAGGACAAGAGATATTTTTGCCATTTGAAACGAGAATAACTTAATATTATTCAACTATTCAACTAAAATACGAAAATTGTTCATGCTTTAGGTAGTGTTGAGCATTCAATAATTATTCGGTACGACAAAAAAGTATTGTAAAAAGAAATGCTTGCTCATTAATGTTGAAAAATTAATTTGACACAATCGCACATATCAAAAAGGTCAGCCCTTTCTAACCCATCGAGTAAGTTTTCAAAAAATGTATATGCTTACCGTTCCATTAGGTAAAGTATAAGGACAACAACTACCATTCCCGCGATCAGAGCTATAATGAATTTGTTGATGTAGTGCTCACTGGAGGCGGATTTGTTGCCCGTATAGCGGCTGTTAAGTTGGAGTTTTGTGAACATCCCTGTGTAAATGGCACAACCCACCGCACGATCTGGTCCTCGAATGCGTACACCACGTAACAAGAGATTCTCAATTGTCAATGGTATTACTTCAGGATTATCTGTGCCATTTGTGTGCGATTCTATACGTCCATTGAATTTGTAGAGATCAGGCGTTGGGTGTTCACAGATGATGTGGACTAAGTGCCTAACAATGTCTCCCAAATCGTAAGTGTAGTTAGTGGGTGCAAAGATTGGCTTAAGATTAGTTTCTCCGTCTAAGTTCGCCGTGTTCACAAAGCACATGTTCCTTGCTGAAGACGAGTAAAGCAATACCAAATCGCATGGAACGTAGCTTTTACTAGTCACTACCACCAGATCGCCTTGTTGTACGTATTCCGAATCGATGCACTGTTCCTTTCCATTGCGTATAACGGTTACTGTTGCATAATAAAACAAAATAAGAGTGATTTAGTAGAGACTGTTCGACTTCGAGATACCCTGCACCTATACATATGTCCATACGCAGATAAGGACGATCATCTCATTACGTGGCAACAACTCCTGCTCGTCATATATCAGTAATACTTCACGGAATATTGGTGCATTGCTGGGTATATTAACTCAACAAATTTATTCATTTTAGAGCGCAAGCATGACATGCCAATGTGTACATGTATATACCAACCCTCAAATCATTAACTTATCTTTTGACGGATATCATCCCGATTTCCTATTTGCATACTTAATGATAGTTATCTCGCCCCTTCACACGTTCCTTACATTTCCACAACAATAAGCAATACATTCGAGCTTACATAGGAATTAAGATTGTAAGTGGTCAAACCTTTGGCTGAATTAACACTTCTATCGTTTTTCGATCGTGAATAATCCTCTATACCTTCCTTCAGCGCAGTCACTATCATAACGAACAGCAGCGGCAGCAGTGATGTCAATGGAGATATAGTATCATCTACATTGGGATTAAAAACATGTATGTGTTAGTATCCATTGTGTTTGAAGCATATGGGCACCTCTGACATACTAACGAAAAACGATATAATCGTTATTACTAGAAAGTAGAAATAGACGGCTCGACGGAACTGTTCGTAGAAGTTTATGGGGACAAAGGTTAGCCACGTGTACTTGGTAGTTCTCACGCGGTTTAAGATCGATTTCATTTGCTGATTCGTAGATCCAATTGTAATGCGTAACGGTTCTTTCTCTCTGGAGCGCTTCATTTTGAAAATAATGCTTTTATTTGCTCACTCTTGAATTTGCATATGCTCAGAGATCTTATAACTTAATGGATTGTGGGCAACACACGTCTATTATCTTTCTATGTTAAACTTTGACTAAAATTTGGTAACAAAGTTATTTTTTAATCGAAATGTATAACGAATTCTAGCTTTTTATTGATACCGACCCCTACTGGGAACAATTACGGAACTATAATTACATTTAGGTTAAATGCAAAAAGAAACATGCATTAGAACAATGGACATGTATACATTGAATCTTTACTTCAGATTAGCCTCAGCTATAGATTAGATATAGCTTGTCAGAAATAAAATTAAAGGTAAAGTCTTGACACGAGCTGTTTCGCACTTATGAATAACTCGTTGCTTATAGATAATATGCTATAAAATACGTATAATACATATTTTGTTTTTAAACCCCGAACCCACTGAAAATGGGAAATCAGGGTATAATGTTTTTTTTTTAAGTATGCATCAGTCAGAAGATATAAGAGCTAGAGACTTGAAATTTTTTTCCTAGGTCCTTGTGTATCACGCGCATATCGAGTATTGTTTTAAAAATCGATAACTTGTCACATTATTTTGTTATCGATTAAAATCATTATCGAAAACCAGTAATAAATTTATATCTGCTACATCTT